AGATAAAAGATGTTTAAATTGTTTTAGGTTGCAAGCAACTGAAGAGCACCTCCGAAATAAAGTGGATTCTTGGTATATTCCCCTAAAACTCTTATTCTCATGCTGTTTATAATTTATTAAGGGGTAAAGAAATGAATATTACGCACTTAACATTATTATATGAGATATCTAAACTGGAAATTTCTAATATAGGACAGTGACATGAATTTGGACAATAAATTATGTTCGAAATCTTATTCAGTAAATAGCACTGTTTCACTGTATGATATTCAAAGGGGAACAATCAGCATGACGTGCTATAAGTCCACAAGCTCTTAATATACTATGAAATTGGTTAAGAATTCCATCATTAGTCAGATAATTCAATACAAGTAGCTTGGTGTTGGGCATATGTGATTATATCTTTGTCATGTTATAAGGCTGTGAAACTTAGCTGCCGAAAAAGGATGATAAGTCATGAAGTTACAGGTTTTCGACTACAGGTGTCTTTTCAGCATTGACCAAGTGTGATAGAATCATCGTTCGAACATTGTCGATGGTAAGCGATGAGTTTGTGTATCTTCCTCGAATGAGGTGGCTGGGATATATGTTGCGCACGCCTAACCACTACCTGGCTTGATGAGCAATATTAGTTGAAATAGGATTGAGAAACCAAACCAAGATGTGGCAGTAATCAGGATATGAGTTACTGGGATGAATGCATAAAATATGACACGAAACATCGCTTTGGTAGATGAATTAATCATAAGTAATTCACTCACGTAAACACCTATGATCGAAGCGAAGTTAGCCAACTTGATCGATAGACTTCGATAAGCGGTAAGAATCATTATATGTTCTATGGTAACCAATTCGTGTACTTCTTCCAGTCCTACAGAAAGAAGTCAGTCGTTAGCTGAATAGCTTAGAGGTACAGCTTATGACCTCTTGTTCAAATCACCACTAGGAGACCAGTTTTCTCATAGTTGTAGATACTTCTTGTCAATGAGAGTTTGGCCTGAGCCATGTAGAAGGTGTAGACTAGTTCGCTGAGGTCCTCAAGCCAATACGAATCAATGGTTGAGGACATTTGCTAACATGGCTGAAAATAGGTCACAATTGTACAGATCTATTCACTCTTTGATATCTCCTGAAGCTTGAATAATATTTTAACCAACCTTCATATTTAAATTCCATTTCTTCTTATACACCTTTTTCTAGTTTGATATCAATCTTTTTCTATCCACTTATTTTTTGAGTAGGGCTGCGAAGTGTGGTAACTTGAGGCTATGCATTTGTGTGCGAAGTTCCGCGTTGATACTGTTAGTCTGTCTGAGTATCTAGAAAGCATAAAGCTCTTATTCAGGGCCTCTTATCGATTGACCTCTATCGTGTAATTATTTATTATTGTTATTTTTCTCTTAGATTCCTAGTGAAACATACGTCTTCAGTAGCACGCCTTCATTACACTCTGTTCTCTGCAGTCTTTTGGACCTGGCGCCATGACTACCCACAAGCTTTCGTTTCTTCCTCACATGATCTCTTCCATGTCACCCTTGCTTCGGATGCCCAGCTCGTCGTCTTTTCCTTTGAATTCCACTCGAGGGCCTGACGCTTGATGTCCCTAGTCGGCCTTCTCAGTGTATGCCCATCTCAACTTTATTCTGCACAATCGTCTAATACTTTGGTATTATCTTTCATAGTATCTGGATATAGAAAGCGTTGTATGATGGGTGGTTTTTATGTATCAGTAGCCTAACAGAGTATATTATGGCATCTGAAACGTACAGACTTTTGTCAATGAGTTATTCTGGTTATTTACAATTGACTACACTGTTAGTAATCTCTTCATTAGAAGATAAAATGTACCTTTGAAGTGCCCACCAACTTGGTGGCATATCATGTTTATTCTCCACACAATACACAAGATAAAAGAAGCATGAAAATCTCTCATCTCATGAAGTGTATTGATCAGTCATTTGAATACTTCTGTGAATTGAAGATTGGCAAATTTTTCATATATATGAATTGGCTAGTGACACGCTATTTATCCTATGCTCCAAGAAGAATCGATACTCATTTTTATATTCACAAAAGTTAAACATAAACTAAAATTTTTCTAAAAAAAATATTTAGGAAATTTTCATATTTTTAGTCATTTTACCCTTTTTTAAATTCAGTTCATGGAGAGAGAGAGAGAGGGGGAAGAGAGAGAGAGGGATGAAAGTTGACGGTACAAACTAGGACAAATCAACTCAGTTCTTAGTGAACAAATTCAACGTGTACTTGAAATTGTTTATATCGCCAATTATCTGTGATTTTTATTCTCATCTAATATTACATATTCGTTTTGTTTGATTTTCCATATATCCATCGTTATCATTTTTCACTACTCATATGCATCCTAATAAGTAGCTTTCATTACACCAATTACAATACTTTGACATAGTACAGTAAAACGAAATGAATACATTTGGATTAGTGATATTAGAAAGAGGGAAGAAGTTAGGAAAAAAACTGATCAACATAATGTTAACCGTTATTGTGGTGAGTTTTGAACCATATAAATCTTAACAACCTCAATTAGAGATAGCCTAACTCAAATCAATCATCAAAGATCTTCTTTTCCATTCAAGTTGAGGTTCATCAGTTTGGGGAGATAATTTCCAAACACGGCTTGGTCTACCGAGGTTAAGATATCCTCCGATGAGGTTTATAGCCTAACACACGAATGTTCACATTGTTTCTGGAAGCAATTCGACTATGATTCCTTCTGCTTAACTGACCCTACTTTAGGTAAATTGAAATTGTATGAAACAATTATTTTACTTTAACAGCAATTTGAAGACGATCTTTAGCACGATAGAATATTGTTCATAAAAATGCTAAGGCTCTGAATATACTGAATACTTATTTCAGTCTAGTCTAAAAGCTTTCAGTACATCAGATGGTAAACTTTTTTGAGACTTAACCTCCTAAAGTATTCAGGGGACTTGGTGATGTGGGGGATATCAATGAAGTCGGACCCTAGTATATGATTGAAAATACCTAATCACTGGGGGAAATCTAATCCTTTGAAGGTGTGTATACTAAGACACAGATATTATACACTTTTTCACAGTATTAAATTATCAAAAGTGTTTAGATGAAACCGTCTCTATTTATTTATTCACCAGGGGATTTTATAAGTAGTGGACAACTTTTTTTTTGGAATATTTTTATTACAACTATAATCGTAAATGTGTTTCACACTAGATTTTTATTCCGTGGTTGGAAATGTTTTTTTTCATCTGAAAAGTAAAGTAGACTCAGAAAGAAAATCACTAAAGAATTAATTAGAGAATGTATATTTGAGGCTTGAGGTTAAGAGAAAAACTTGAGCGGTATGGTAGGTAATTTATTTGGTATGGTATACAGTGATACAATATTATTTACTGGATGACGTTTTGGACAGAATGTATGCTTATATTCATATGGTTCAATGACTAATAATTTATCACTGTGTCCGATATCAAATAAAGTATGTCATAACGAATAGATCCATCTGATTGGTCAATATTTTCCATCTAAAATGTCGTGTGAATATTTTTCTTCAACCTTGATCAAAGGTAATCTCATTTGCATTTTATTGGTTAGTTGTTAACTTTGGTCTGAGATGACAATTTTTCCACATTATTATTGGTCCAGTAAAATAACTATAAAGACAGCTAAATTTCCAGCTAATGATGAAAAGTGCGAAAATCATTATTTACTGTTATGTGTTACTGTTGTGGATATATAACGAGGTTTTCTAATTCGTAGCCCACCTCAGCGGCCTAATGAATAACCCTGTAAGATTTACAACGATGGATGCTTGCCTCGAGTCCCAGTGAGGACAATACCACTATTTGTCTACCTTTTATTTGATAATTTTTCACTGTAAATAATTAACATTTCCAGATTTTGGCCATGCGATAAACGAACTTAGTAGTTTCTAGATGAATCCTTGATAATTTCGTCTTCGGAACAAGAGTAATATTTATCCGAGAAAGTTTTATCTACATTTCTTGCTACTAGTGAACTGGGAAGTGCAGATGAAACTTGAACTTATATGCTTTATAGAAAACCTTTCCTGTACACTGATTGGTCACTAGAGGGTAACTAATTTCATCTTATCTAATCCTGAGTGCTAGTCGAATATTACCGATTATTTTGCAATGTGACCACCAGACAAGGAGACTCACTGTCGAAATTAACTAAGATGGATGTTAGTTAGATGGAGACAATGGGTAAGAAGTCCTGGTTTACCCACGTTTCTTGATTTTTGGCACTCATTGGTAAGGCAAATCTACAACCTCGACAAGGATGATATCCTGTGTGGGGTTCGAACCCACCCCATCCAGCGCTTAGAATTAGTGTCCAATCAATAAACCTAGTCCAGTTGTACAGGGTGTCAATTTTAGCGCGAATAGCTCTGTGACTCATTGTAGCACTGGATGACATGGATTCAAACATCACCCAGAACATATACATATATATGCTGTATTGAAAGAAATAGATAATGTGTTCACGATTAGCAGAAAGTTACTCATCATACATTCACATGACAACCGGGTGAAGATTTCAGTGACTAAAGTGAAGTTAGAACCTGGTCGGCAGCTGCTAGCCATACTACTAGGTGGGTAGGCAGAGGCGGCTAGTTCTAATCGCACCATGGTTTAGGTATTCATTTTACCTCCAGTCATCATATTTTATGAAAAACACTGTACTACAAAGATATTACAGCTTCTCTTTTAATCTATTCACGTTTTTGTATTTATACAAGGGTCAAATGTCATTCTGTATTTGATCACATTGGTTTATCACTACTGATGTGTCTGAGAGAATAGACAAAGAAAAAGCCTAGAATGTTTGAAATCACTGATCATTTATCTTTGTCACTTTGTATTTTGTTTTACATCTCTCATAATGTGTAAACGTCATTCTGACTACTTTTCTATGCCTCGCTAACTCCTTTCTCTTGCTTATTTCAATTCACTTAGAAGCCACAGCTGAAAATGACTTGAGTAGTCTACTCAGAGAACTTGAAGTGGTTGAAGAGAAAATGAAAGAATTAGAACAAGAGAATAATCAATTTACTAGAGTAAGTCACATGCTAATTATCATTACTATTACTATAACTATCTTACTGTCTACAAACGTGTGTATTCACTGTTTTATACATGAGATTTTCCAGATGATTTCAGTTTATAGTTTGACTGAGGAGAGGAAAGCATAAACTTCAGACAAGTGTATGTTTCTTTGTATTATTTTTATTTTAAACGACATCATGTCTATCTATTGACATACTTATTATTCTCCGTTGTTTTGTTGGATAGTGGCTAACAGTGGAATCCATGAAGAGCGTTTGCGTCCTATTTGGGATTTGTCAGCTGAATGTACCTGCCTCCCAGTGAGTGATGTTGTTGGACTCTAGGCATTCACGTAGAAGAGCCCATATGTCAATAGAGACCGATCAATGCAGTTCAATCAATGACGGGATAATACTAGCAATAACATTACTTATCACCATCAGTTTAATTAAACACTGTGTAACCTGTTTGTTTAGTTTCTTCAGGATATCCTGTGGAATGTGATGGTGTTCCTGAAAATATCCCAGCCTAATAGGCATGCTATTTGTTGATATGCTCGTATTCCTCCATTGTTTTACTGGGTCGAATTGTTCGACTTCTGTTAGCATATTGGCAGATGCCTCGATATTGTCTGAATATTTATTAGGATAATTTACTTGGCTGAATCCCTCTGTTAGCCACAACAAAGTAAATCATAATAATAAATATTAAGGCAATATCGAGACATCCGCATAAGAACCCCTATGCTAACAAAGGTAGAACAACGCAATGTAGTAATGTAGCAATGTGGTATGTCAATAAATACTAATAACTACTACCCGTTGTACAAGAAGTGGCTATCGTTCCTCCTTGGCATAGTGGATAATGCCTTGGCGTTTGAAGCGATGGCTACGAGGTTTGAGTCCCAGTAGGGACAATATCACTGGAGTGCAGATACATCCAGCTGACGAGTCCTAAATAGGATGAAACGCACGTCCTGGATTCTTCTGCTAGCCACAACCAACCAATTTATTATAATTTGACATCATCTCAGTTTTTCATGCATACAATTAGTTATTTCATTTCTGTGAATTATATGTGATACACATGGTCAGCGTATACTTTCAACTCATTTACTCGAAGCTTGAAAGGTATTCAGCAACTTTGTACACATTCGTGCAATAGGCAATGAATCACACCTATTGTTTGACGGCCAATGATACAACTATCAGAATACCCAAACCTCGGTAGGTGGGGTGGGGTTTGATTCCTGTGACCTATTAGTTTTAGGTCATCTATCCAAAGCTTTCGATGCACATGTGCTTGAGTCAGCTTGTGAGTAACAAGATTTGTGAGTGTATCAGTCTTGTTTTCTGTTGAACTGCGGTTGAAATAAGAAATATCATCTGACTAATCTCGTGGATATTTATGCATGTATGTGATCAATTTGAGTTTGAAGTAAATTAGAAAACCAAGTGTAGACACTGAAAGCTATTAACAGTTTCCATTATAAGTTGATAGAAATTAAAACAACAGTGATTAGAAACTAAAAGACCAGCAAAGCTCACTTATGCCCCGAATTCACAAAAAAATATTTTACTGACAACCATATATCAATTCAAAACAGTTTTAATCATGAGTTCAGACAACCAACTAATGAATCTTTGAAAATCACAGGATGAATTGAATTCAATTTCACGTCCTTCAATGCATAATTGATGCCATTTTTTAAAAGCTATTCACGTAAAATCGACCAATCATGTCGAGTTTGAACCGATGAGTGGGTGACCTTGAAATGACTAATCAGAAGCGAATTAGTTATTTACTTGCTAGAAGCGGTCTAAAAATATAGATAATTTAGTTGGGTATTATTCATCATGAAGTGATAACACATTTTCAATAATTCTTCAACTGATATCAATCCATGATAAAAATAAAATCCCCAATAACCTCGAAATGCTAATTAATGTTTTTTCCCTCTTATATATGTGAAATAATGAGGTTTTCACGGAGGTAAATGAAATTGGTGAACAGTGGCTGATATATGCTCCTTATTTTGCATAGCTTTTACCTGCTGTTTTGCCCATGACGTTAAAATAATCTACATAGCTGTTTTCACACCCTTACTAGTTTTTCTTCCCTCTGCTCTCAAGGCTGAACTCTCATTGGTTGTTAACTGTTTTTACTTATATGTGGATTTGTTGTCAAGGTCATTTAGAAATGTGAGTGTCTATACAGCAAAAGGTGACTGTACTCCAATCTTCTTCATTATATCATGTTACATTGATGTAGACGATTGGTATTTCTTCATCAGTATTTGATCGAAAAAATTAGAATCCGCTCAACAACTCTTTGCACATTCATGCAACAAGCAATTAACCACACCTATTGTGTGGCAGCTATTGATGACACTATCTGGTTTCTTAAAACTTTTGAACAATGCTCCTGTGCAGCTGATTTTGTGTGTTGTTCAATTGTCTCTTCTATATCTGAGGATTTGATCGATTTGATATGACTTTCTGTGGAGTAGATCACTTCTCTCCGAATTCTTCGTTGATGATATTGCCTTGAATGACAATAAAAACTTCGAAAATGAACCATCTAGATGGGGAAAGATAATACCAAAAGGGATTGGCTTCTTACCAAGGTTTTCCGAGTTTAACGAGACGCCTGTTCGGTACTTGCAGGTTATCCAGTGGTTCTCCAACTGATGCCAGTCTTTGAAAAAAACTATTTCATATCAAGAATATCTTGGTTGTACTATGTTCGAGGAGGAAATGAGAGCTTGTGGACTGTCGTGGAGCCAGATTCAAAAGATTTCAGAGAACGGAGCGCATTAGAGACGTGCTACTGAAGCCCTATGTTCCACTAGGAACCCAACGGACAAATAATAATAATAATAGTAATTGTGTTCTCTGGGCTGAGTTGTTTAATGGTTAAACTTTCATTGTCTTGATAGACGGCATCATTAATAACTTCAGTATGAAGTGACATGTCAATATCTCTTCGTGAATGATTCAGTAGCTTACACTGACCAACTGGTTTGTGATTGGTTGTTTCCTTTGATTGCTGTGTCATTGACAGACTGCATAGATCTTCCTGTTGGCTGTTACTCTGCTTCACCTCTCACCTTTCTGTCGTTTATCATTTTTAACTCATTGGTTGACAAATTGGATCTATGTCTATACATCTATTGATTGCTGGCTGGCTAGCTGACTGACTGACTGACCCGAATGCCAGGCTTCTAGGATTTCTCTGATATTCTTTGTGTTTCCTCTCTCTACCCAAGATTTCTACATTGTCAAGATTGAATTCATCTCCATAGTTGTTATCCATGAGTGATGAACTGTCGTGTGTGACGTTTAATAGCCAATTGGTGTTCATATAAGATGAAGGTGAAGAGGGTGACCACTTTGTCCAATGTAGTGTTGACTACAGTTATTGTAGTTGACTTAGTAAGTGATATGTTGTTTGTCTTCTCTGGTTGTTGGGTGGTTTGGTGTGGATAGTAGGGTTTGTAGGTAATTTGTTGGTTTATGAGTGATCACACCGATTGGAGGTGGTCTCAGTAATGTTGTTGTGATTTCTGATATATTCTGTATGTACAGTAGGATGATGCGTTTATTGATTTGTGTCGATGAGTTTGTCGTTGATGATGTACAGGCTAGTCATCTTATGATAGAGTTTTGTGGGTAGCCGTTCATTTTCAGGATGGACATGAAGTAATTTTTTTGGTTTCCCCGTGAAGTTGTTGTCCTGCAGTGGGTCGTCGCTCTTGTGGAGAGAGTCTGTAGGCAAGTAATTTTGTGCGTTGTTGGGTTGTTGCTACTGTAGTTGAGTATTTGATGAGTCAGTGTGTGTTGGTTTCCTGTACCCTTGGGTTTCCAGGTTCGCCGTATTCGTTCTATTGACTAGAACATCTAGGAATGGTAGTTGGTTGTTCGAGTCGTTGTCGATTGTGAATTTGATGTCATTGAAAACGTTGTTGATCTATGTGTGAGTGTTTTGCATATCATCGTTTTTAATGATGACAGAAGTGTCATCTAGATAGCGAACCCAAATTTGTGATTTAATCACAGATAGATGATGGCTTTGAGTGTGTGGATGACTGCTTCTGCAATTAGTCTGGATATTGGTGACCGCATTGGAGTTGCTTGCTTTCATGTGTTTGTGTATGTTACCATTGGAATTGGAAGTATGTTGTGAGAGGAAGGTGGATGAGTTCCATGAGAGTTGAATATTTAAGTTTTGTGTGTTCTTTAAGATTTGTGTTTTCAGTGAGTAGGAGTGACTTGATTTCGTTGGTGGATTGGAGTTCGATGGAAGTGTGACTGCTGTGCTGTGACATTGAAGGATAGCATTAATTCGTCGTTTTGTGTGTTAGTGCTTTTGATGTTTTCTAAGAATTTTGATGATTTGATGAGTTGTCTGCATGATTGAAGGTGGTGTTTGAGTTTTGTGGGAAGTTCTCCTTGATATGTTGTATGTTGGTGTTCCTGGAAGTGAGACTACTGGTCGTAGAGGGATGTTTGGTTTGTGTAGTTTTTGTGTGGCGTAGAAGTGAGTAGGGATATGTCCATTCGATTTCATCCTCCATTTGTCTTGCTTTGTTATTTCTTCTGCTTTGAAGAGTCTGTTTAAGGTTTATTTATCTGGATAGGGTTTGATGTTCATTTTTGTCTTTGAGTAAATCCTCTGCCTTGTTGATGTAGTCTTCTTTGTCGATGATTAGCGTAGTGTGTCCTTTGTCTGCTGGAAGTATAACTATATCTTTCCTATTTTTCAGTTTTTTAATGTTTTCTGTTCTTGGATGTTCATTTTAGCGTCATATCTCTTCTAATTAGTCAGTGGTACGCTTTTTTTCCGTATTTCTTGTTGAGTGGCCTCATTTAATCGTGATGTTTCGAAGTAGATAGTGTTTCGCTTAGTCGATGAAGAATTAAGTGGAACTCAGCATCAAAATTATGGATTTTTAGATTTTCATAAGATATTCGAACTGGGAATTATGAATCATGAAATTTTCATATAAAAC